TGTCCTTAAGAAAAATAAAACGCTGTGGTGACAGACATTTAGTGAAAATATCTGCTAGCTGAAACTGAGTAGGAACATAGCGAACCATCAGATCTCCATGAGAAACTCTCTCTCGAACAAAGTGATAATCAATGCTGATGTGCTTGCTCCGGGCATGCTGAATGGGATTTAGTGGACAAGTAGGAGGCAGAAACATTGTCACACAATAGCTGTACCGGATCCCGAATAGAGACGCCTAATTTGAATAGAATTGAACGAATATGTAGTGTATCCTGAACTGTGCAAGCAATAGCTCTATATTCAGCCTCTGTAGAAGATCGGGAGTAGGGCTGTGCACGGGTCGGGTTCGGGCGGGTCGGGTTTGCGAACCCTAAACCCGTTCGGGTTTTTTTTAATTTAAATACTAGGCCCGACCCTTTGATATTTCAAATCGGGTATTTCGGATATTTTTAAGTCGGATATTATCGGATATCGGGTCGGGTTTCAGATATTTTGGTTATATTAAAAAAATTATAATTGGATAATTAAAGTGTTTAAATGCCACTTTGACAAAAATTGTACACACTAGTGTACTAAACTTCCAAATTGCACAAATAATTTAACACAAATTGCACAAATAATTGAACACAAGTATTAATTTAACATATTCAAAGTACACACTACATAATGTAATATATTTCGGATATTTTGGTTATATTAAAACACATTATAATTGGGTAATTAAAGTGTTGGAATGCCACTTTGATAAAAATTGTACACATTAGTGCACTACACATTCAATTTAAACAAATAATTTAATACAAATTGCACAAATAATTACACAAATAATTGAACACAAGTATTAATTTAAATATTCAAAGTACACACTAACCTATATTTCGGATATTCGGGCGGGTCGGGTTGGGATTAATTGAACACCCCTCCCATGACGCGACCATCTTCTTCATCTAAAGGAAAATCACTTTTTAAATCTGTATTTGGCAATCTTATGAAAAAAAGTAAAACAACTCCCGATAATGAACAAAGCTCAGTTAACGAGCTTGCGATATATCTAACATTTCCTGTTGATTATGAAGTTGGGGATGACTTTGACGTTCTAAAGTGGTGGAAGGAAAAAGAAAGAACGTTCTCGATTTTATCAAAGATGGCTAAGCAAGTGCTAGCAATGCCGGTATCAACAGTTGCCGTGAAACAAGAATTCAGGGCGGCCGACAACGTTCTAACTGATTATAGAACGAGATTGAGCCCAAAGTCTCTTGAGACACTTGTTTGCTTCCACGATTGGTTGAAGGCCCAATGTAGAACTCAAGAAATGACCATCGCCCCCACCCGCTACTTTATGGAGGAGACAACGAAGGCGGAGATTCCGATTGATTATCTATTACAAAATTTATTTAACTTATTTAATTTTTCTCAATTCTCAATTGTACTTCTTATTTCAAATAAATATACTTGAACTTTTTGTATATATCAACTCTCTTAAATTCATTGGACAACCAAAAAAAATACATTTAGCCCGGAACCGGCCCGACCCGGCCCGGTAAACTGCCGGGTGGCCCGGCACGACCCGGAATCGCCGGCTACCCGGGCCAGTTCGGGTTCCACCTTTCCCAAACAAAAGCCCGGCGGGGCCTAGGCCCAAACCAGAACCGGCCCGGCCCAGGTCTAACCCTATATCTCATACTCTGTATTAAATTTGTATAATATATTATATTCAAACATCAGCTTAGTCATCTTACATCTAGGCGTGGATTGGGACGGGGTTGAGCCGGGCTTCGGACTAGGACTGGGTGGGCTTCAGGCCTAAGAATTTCAGGTCCGATGTTGGCCCGGAATTTTACTGGTACCGAGTCGGGCTGGGCTACCTGGGCGGGCTTCGGGACAGGATTGGGTTGGGCCAAACAATTCAAACCCCAATTTTGTTTTGTTTTTTTGAATTCTTGACTGTTAGGCCTCGACCGGGCCTGGCCGGGTCGGTCCACTAAAATCAAAGCCCAATATAGCATGCTTCTTCATCCGGGTCGGGCTCCGGGCTTGGTCCCGATCAACCGGGCTAGGATGGGCCTACACAATAGCGGGCTGGGTCGGGTAGTTGGCCGGGTAGGCCCGTCCCAATCCATCCCTATATACATCTAGGGGACAAGGCGGTTCGCTGATGCACCTTGCCCACAAGGCCGATTCTAGGGTGGGTCGAGTAGCAGGCCGGGTCGGTCCTCTACATACTACTACCTCCGTCCCCCTAAGTTTGGGACAAGAGAATGTGGAACGAATTGAACTCGACCCAAACTTATTATAAATATTTATAATATTTAGGTTTTGTCTCGCATTAAGATGGGGAACTTTGGTTTCTCTTCCGTCTCTTTGACATTGAAGATATTTGTTTTGTAATTTTTTCGATATGAAGTACTTTCTTTATGTATTAAACTTTGATTTTATAATAAAATTGATATGTCTCAAAGCGTTAGGATAGGGCCTCCTTGTCTATCTGTTGTACGGAGTAACAAACTAGCAACCTCGTTCTCTTGTCGTATTTCTTCTATTCTCTTATTTGTTTGTATGTTAAATGTGATTTTTGTTCTTGATAGATATGAATTTTTCCTCTAAAAAATTTGAGGAAAAAAAAGATATGATTTTTTTCCTAAAATTTTTTAAAATTTTAAATAACATTATAGGACAAAATATGATCATTAGACTAGGAAGGTCTAACTTTTATCAATAATTTTATTTTGGTAATACATTTGTCCGTATTTTGTACAGAATATAAGTTTGGTCACGACTTCACATAATTGTAACTCACTAACTCTTACTACTTTGAAGCAGTGTGGTATTGTTGAAATATGTAATTGTAAATTAAATGGAATAGTTTGACTTAGTTTTTTGCCTAGTATTTTAAGTGAAACTCAAAATTATATGTAGTATATTACGTAGCAGTAAAAATATGATTGGATCGATAGATACTAATTATAACTATTTTTATCAATGTCCTTCGGGGACTCACAATTCAAATTTATTTTCATTAAATACATTATTTTCATTCATGCGACTTCATGCCCAAATTTATACGGAGTACGAGGTAGGTATTAGGTACAATCGAATTCATTATTCATCAACCACATCATATGCTAATACTATGTAATTCTATGTATGCACTTAAGTTACTGTAATAGTGTACGTAACTATGATCATTATTATTTAATTATTTCAATTGTCTTTGTTTCTTAAGAAAACTGACCTTTAAGTTAATAATAAGATAATCAAGTGAAATAAACCATATCTCCATATGTCATAACCATAAGACAAACGTGAATTGAACTCTTGCTCTAGAAACATACAAGTTATTATGTGATAAACAACTCCATAACAATAATAATTAATCATTACTCTGTATTCTATAATACATAGGGTATGTTTGCAAAAAGTTAGGAAACTTATTTTGAGCTAGACTTAGGGAGTGTTTGCGTTTGTTTCTACTTTTAAAAAGTGATTTATTAAAGTGATTTTGCAAGAAGTGCTTTATAGTAGAAGTTGATAGTGTTTTAGAATAGAAGTGATTATTGTAAAAAGGTAAAAGTTGAAGTGTTTGATAAAAAATGATTTTTGATGTAATTTTTTATTATTAAAGTACATAAATGCCCCTATCATAAATTAAATGTAAAACCTATTTTTCTTGAAAACCATTTTCTGGAGATTAATTTCGAGCTAGTGTTCTTCTTGGCCGACATCATCCCTGAGTTTCGAATATATATATAGACACAACATCCACTTACAATTTATTGAATTCTTTGTAGCCAAAGCTAAGCATGTTTTTAGATTCAACAAATTTTTTAATTCGCAATTTGTATTTGAGTGGGACTGCAGTTTCAACGAGGCCGGAGAACAAATACATCCAACGACGTACTTCGTCGGATCTGGAATCCAACAGTAACTTTGGTGGCTCTAACAGATCTTGTCGACCCTAAGCAGATCTGGAAATTTTCCTAATCGGGTGGTGATATGGCGGAGGATTCCCGTCGGCTAGGGTTTCAGTGGCCCTAATAGACGGGTTAAGGCGGTGGCTGCGGCTTCGGACGACCCAAGGATTAAGGTGAGGGGCAGGGGAAAGGTTTCCGACAAGGTTCAGGGCGGGGGATGGGTTTTGATAGGGAACTGGAGCAGGGAGAAGAGGTTCCAACGGGGCTAATGGTTGGTGGTAGCGGCTTGTTGTGGGCTTGTGGTGGCGAGTTGTTGTGGGCTGGTGGGTAGGTTGTTGGCGGGTTGTTGTGGGCTGGTGGGGCCAGGGACTGATTGCTGTGTGTTTGTTGGTCACCAGGGTGGTGGTGGTTGCCGGAGCATCTCACACTTGAGGGCATTTGAGGGTTGGGCAAGGGGTGGCTGGGGACGGGCGGTGTGGATGGGGTTTAGGTGACTGTGATGTTGGGCGTGTGGGGCAGTGACTGGTTTGATGGTGATTGTGAAAGGTGGTGATGCGACGCCACTGTGGTGGCGGCGGCGGCGGACTGATAGTGGCGGTGGGAGTGTACTTGGGGCGGCAGTCACTAGTCGCCGGCTGACAGTCACTGGCCAGGGCAGTCATTGGCCGGAACGCGGTGATCATCGGCTGAAGATGATGTTTGTGGAGTGACTATGACGTAGTCACTGTGATGGCGTAGTCACGGTGGAGGCGTAGTCACTGTGATGACGTAGTCACTGTGGAAGCGGAATCACTGTGGTCGGAGTCACTTTGGCCGGAGTCACTTTGGCCGGAGTCACTTTAACCGGAGTCACTTTGGCCGGAGTCACTTTGAGCGGAGGCGGAGGCGTAGTCACTGTGGAGGCGGAATCACTTTGGCCGGAGTCACTTTGACCGGCGGCGGCGGCGGAGGTGGCGGCGGCGGTGCTGGGTCGGCTGCCATGGATCTGAAGTGCTGGTGGTTGCAAAATATGTAAAAAAGGAATATTGAAATAATAAATGTATGATTAAATAAAAGGAATAAATGACTTTTAGTCACACTTTTGGAAAATTTTAAAACATGTCACTTTTTTGGAGTTTTCATTCAATTTAGTAATATTGGAATAAAAAGGCCTTTTAATATTTTTAGATGATCCGATCTAGTTACTCCGTATTGCTTAAGTTCAAACGCACATTTTTTAGCCACCATACTTGTCAACGGCATCAAAAGTATAGTTTTGTTTCAAACATAATCCACCCACCCACCTTTAACACAGTTCCATGGATTCATCATCATCCTCATCATCACTAGGAGAGGATGTGCTTCTATATTTCCTCTTTCTTGTGGGAAGAAGTTGTCTTAGTGAAGCAACAACATCATGTATGCTTGGCCGGCAATCAACGGCATACTCCATACATCGCTGCCCCAAACCCAGCAAGGATTGCTCAACGTATGAGTAGGTCCTGCCATCAGTAACCTCTTTGGCACACCCCAGTTTCTGAGCTATCAACTCCTTAAGCAGGACGCCATATGCATACACATCTAAAGCAAGGGCATTTTTTTTCTCGCAGTCTGTATAATGTATTGGATCCCCTGTTTTGAGGGCATTGATGTACCTCCTCGGGAATCTCGGATTCAGATGGCAGTCAAAGTTGAATAACTTAACTTTATATTCCTGATCGATAGACACATTCGAAGCAGACAGATTCCCCAAGGCTATCTGTCTATCATGAAGATGTTCTATGGCTTGTGCAAGGTCAATTGCTACATTCATCCGCTGCTCCAGCGAAAAACTTCCACAAGGAATAAGATCTTGGAGTGTTTGATTCCATTTAAAATCAAAGACAACTGCAAGCCAATCCTGGACAGAATATCCAATCAATTTCACCAGACTAGGATGTGATGAGATATCAGGAGTTGTCAGCAACAAAAGCTCACCCTACAATACACCACCAAAGGAAAGAAAATGAAAACAACTCGCATTCAAGATCAGAAATGAACAATGATTTCATGAGGGGGATAAATTCTGGAGTAAGAAAATGATCCATTCATACTGCCAAAGCATCCGAGTAGCAGTTCATATCACGAATATTAAGAGGGGGAGAAAAATCCCATGTTTTGACGGTAACCTCCCGAGTCTCTGAACCTTGTGTCATCACACCTTTGAATAGCCGACCCCTCACACCTCTAGCAACGATGTTTTTCGGGTTGAAATCATCAGTCATGTCTTCCAACTCGAATCGACTCACATGCTTCACCTCGCCCAAATCTATCCCAATAATTGGATCCCTAAGCCAGTTTTTTCAACTTCATCAGATTTACATAGTAATCGATCGAGAAGAAAAGCAGCAATATAGCAACTGAAAGAAAGAGAAAAAAGTCCGTATTCCTGCAACGAGAAACAAAAGAAGAAACGCAAAATACATACCTCGTGGATCGTGTGTAGTTTAATTTCACCCAACGATTATCGTATTTCATCGTAGTCAGAAAGGGACTTGCGATACAATCAACAGCCCTCAACGCGGACAAGAAGTTAAACTTTTCTTGTTCTGTTGCCATATTGTTGGGATAGATTGTCAGGGAAGACACATCATGTGTTCCAAGTGCTGAAATATACTGGATCATGCACACATACATTTCATATCGGAACAATTGAATAAATAATCAGTACCTATCAATTGGTATAGTTCATTTGGAATACCTGGAAGGCTGGGATACGTATCTGCAATTCTGAATCTCTGATCACTGCTTCGTCATCACGATCGAGTTTTTTTTTTTTTTTTTTTTGTTTCGTTTACTCGCACAGTCGCCCGTACCGACAAGCATGGCTTTGATCCACCACATAACTATTTGACGGCTTCCTCTTCTGGCGAGGAAGGTTTCAATTAGACCTGCACAAAAGCGGGTTCGGGCCGGGCTCGGGCCGGGCTTTTCATAAGTTTTCTGCCCATCGTGTGTGGGCGGGCCCGGCCTGGCCCGCAAAAACGGGCCTAACCCCATGTCCCAAAGATAGGTGCAAGCGTGAACTCCGATCCCTACTGTAAGTTTTGCCATGTCAAAGGGCATTACCAGAGGGAGTGCCCTAAGTTTAAGGCATGGCTGACTAAGAAAGGTAACTTAACCACTTATGTAATTTATAAGTCATTGAACACATCAGTTCCCCTTAATACTTGGTGGATTGACTCTGATTCAATGGTTCATGTTTCAAACACACTGCAGGGATTCCATTCAATTCAGACATTGGGAAGAAAGCAAAGAGTGATTAAGGTGGGCAACGGAGAAGAATTAGAAGTGGAGGCCATTGGAACTATCTCATTAATTTTAGAGAATGGCTTCATTCTTCATCTTCGTGATGCTCTTTATGTACCTAATATTACTCGTAATTTAGTATCTGCGTCGAAACTAAGTGCTAATGGTTTTGCATTTAATTTCGTATACAATAAAGTGACAATAAGCTTGAACTCAAATGTAATAGGATTTGGTAGCATGGAGGGAAACCTCTATAAGTTATGCTTAGACACTAATTTTATGAAATCCCCATTGTCATTTAATATAACTGAAAATCCTTGCAAGAGAAAAAGAGAATTGGAATCGTCGTCCAATTTGTGGCATCAAAGGTTGGGCCACATATCACGAGATCGAATGATAAAACTCGTGAAAGACGGCATTCTTCCAAGTCTTGACTTCTTGGATTATGACAAATGTGTGAAGTGTTTGAAAGGGAAATTATCTAAGAAAACTAAGAAAGGCGCCACACGAAGCACCGGTTTGTTAGAATTAATACACACCGATATTTGTTTTGTGGGCCTTTTCCCAATTCCATTAGTGGTCATAACTCCTTTATTAATTTCATAGATGATTACTCACGCTATATGTACCTATATTTGATTAAGGAAAAATCCAAATCACTAGATATGTTCAAGACTTATAAAGCTGAAGTTGAAAATCAACTTGATCGAAAGATCATAGTAGTGAGATCGGATAGGGGTGGAGAGTTCCATGGTCGACAAACTGATATTGGTCAAGCTCCCGGCTCTTTCCATGAATTTTGTAAAGATCACAGGATCATCAACCAATATACCATGCCCGGCACCCCTCAACAAAATGGGGTTGCCGAAAGGCGGAATAGGACTCTTATGGATATGGTCCGAAGTATGTTGGCTAACTCAAATCTTCCACAATTTTTATGGACCGAGGCCCTTAAAACAGCAACCCACATATTGAATAGAGTACCATCTAAATCTGTTCCTAAAACTCCATGAGTTATGGACGGGAAGGAAACCTAGTCTACGGTACCTAAAAGTGTGGGGTTGTCCGGCTGAAGCAAAAGTGTATAATCCTCAATTGAAGAAACTTGACATGAGAACTATTAGTTGTTTCTTTATTGGTTATCCCGAGAGATCTAAGGGATACAGATTCTATTGCCCATCTCATACTACCCGGATTGTCGAGACCCGACATGCTGAATTCCTTGAGAATACTAACATTAGTGGGACTGTGGGAGTAGTAATGGTTCAAACATTAATGATGAACTTCAAGAAGGTGCTGGAATGAATCCACTTATTATACTGCCCATTCCACCTGACTCTTCACTTGAAGATCATAGTGAAAGTCATACGCCTCATAATAATGATGCAACAAGTCAAGAGGCGAATGAAACTCCAATAGATGTTGAACCAACTCCACCTGTTTCTAATGAAATTCCATAAAATCAGCCATCCCTAAGGAGATATCAAAGGGTGAGACGCCCCACAAATCTTGACGAATATTTGATATATTTAAATGAAGAAGCCGACTTTGATTCAGGCAAAGTCGTAGATCCTATATCTTTCCATGATGCCATTAATTGTGACCAATCGATTCATTGGAAAGAAGCCATGAATGAAGAACTTCTTTCCATGGAGAAGAACAATGTTTGGAAACTTGTTGAATTACCAAAGGGTCATAAGCTCGTTGGAAGCAAGTGGGTCTTTAAAACTAAATTAGATCCAAATGTGAACATTGAAAGATACAAAGCAAGATTGGTCGCTAAGGGCTACACTCAAAGGGAAGGTGTAGATTATCAAGAGACCTTTTCACCTGTCTTTCGAAAGGACTCCCTAAGGGTCGTTATGGCTTTAGTAGCTCACTTTGATCTTGAGCTACATCAAATGGACGTCAAAACAGCCTTCTTAAATGGAGATTTACACGAAGATGTTTATATGATACAACCAGAAGGTTATGTTTCTAAGGGTCAAGAACATCTAGTGTGTAAACTCAAGAAGTCTATTTATGGGCTCAAGCAAGCGTCTCGACAATGGTACCTCAAATTTGATGAAGTCATGAAATAAAATGGCTTCATTAAAAACAAAGTAGATCAGTGCACTTATCTCAAAATGAGTGGGAGCAAATTCATCATACTTGTGTTATATGTTGATGACATCTTATTAGCAAGTAGTGATCTGGATTTATTGCATGAAACAAAACGCTTATTATTTGGCCGTTTTGACATGAAAGATCTAGGTGAAGCTTCTTATGTTATAGGCATTGAAATTCACCGAGATCGAGTCAAAGGGACGTTAGGTTTGTCCCAAAAGGCATACATTGAGCGTATTTTAGAACGTTTTAACATGCAACAATGCTCTCCATTAGTTGCTCCAGTAGTTAAGGGAGACGTTTTTGGGTCATTCCCATGCCCAAAATGTCACGCCCCGGACCTACCCGGACACGTCAACAACCCGCCGTACAGTACGAATAGTCAACCGCAGTCCAACTCATCCATACTATACAAGGCGTCTTGAATACCATTCACAATAGTACATCCATAAACAATCATAATGTGAAATAATTAATTAAAGCAGCGGAAACATTTAATAAAGTGTTTATGCCACACTTGGCTAACATGGGCATACAAGCCCCCAAATAATTATTCAAAAATAATATCCATGAGCAATGTTTAAAATGTTTTCAAAACAGGAACGGAAGAAGCACGAACCACGTCTCCTCCCTTGAATCTCCCCGAAACAACGGCGGCGGTAGCAACCTTCAAGTCCTACCTGAAACTGTGAGGTGGCCTCCCCCGTGAAGGGGAGGTCAGTACTTGGAAGCATTTGACAAGTACAATGACAACTATACTAAGTATAATCAAAGTTTCAATTTCCAAGACCCTCACATAGGGTGATAATATAATATAGGTCATAACCCGTGGTTACCCTCTTTGAAAATATACTTACTTTATATATAAAGTCAAGTAGTCGGCCCGAAGACCCATGTTTTACTTTGAAAACGTTCAACCCTTTCCCCGTGACTTTAAGCCACGCCCATCTATATTAATTCACCATGCTAGAGGCTTCCTCTAGTCATGTTTTGCCGTGCTAGAGGCTTACTCTAGTCACTAAATTCGGTGTTAGAGGCTTCCTCTAATCACCTTACATACTTTGTGCTGGAGGCTTCCTCCAGTCACATTACATTATGCTAGAGGCTTCCTCTAGTCATCCTACACTACGCTAGAGGCTTCCTCTAGTCGTCCTACACGAATGCTGGAGGCTTCCTCCAGTCATTCTTAATCGTGCTAGAGGCTTCCTCTAGTCACGATACTAACTCCCTAGCAAATTCTATGCCTAGAGTTCCTCAATCTTGAGTAGCCAATGAGGCCTACTCCTAATGTAACTTAGTGGTTACCCATTCCTACCTTAAGGCATCTCATAAGACTACTTAAGGTGCATCCTTCACAATCCAAGTCCTTAGGATTAATTTGTCCTATCACTTTTTATACAACATTCCCGATTAGTAAATTAATTACTAATCCATAAATCTTTAAACAGCCAAACTCCTTAACTCATAGTTATAAGGCTCATTCCTATGGATTTTCTAATCCGCATACGATTTAATCTTAATATCAAAAATATCACTTTTATCCATTCATGATTTCTATACATGAAGTAAAAGTATATTTTATCACAAATATTCATGGTTTATACAATCATTATACCTCCACATTTATTATACATCATCATACACAATTTCCTCATAAATTTGTATGTTATGCATTTTCTATTCACAAACAATGATATTTTCATTTAGGCATTATTAATCATTAATAATCCATGAAAATCACGTTTAATTACTTTAGGTAATCTTATGAAATTGACCCAAAGATTATAAGCAATATAGTCAGCCATCCTCACCTTATGAAGTGCTGAATTAGTTGCCTTTGTTAAGCCCTCCGATCAATCCCCGTTCTAAACCGGTTGAAAATGAAAAATCTGGGCAGTCAGCAAAAGCCGGGCGGCTTTCACGAAAGCTGGGCGGCTTTCGTGGTCTGCAACTACGAACAGCTTCCTTGAAGTGGCGGTTTCCGGTGGTTTCAACTCCTATCGATTCCACGACTCTTCTAAGTTAAATACCACCTCTTTACAACATTATTTCACACTTTTAAACGTGTAGAACTCGTGGATTAATCCACCATATGATTTCTTAAAAATCATTCAAAATAATACTAGTTAATTCATACTAGTTGGATTCTTACCTCAACTTTTAGTTCTTTTTGTGTTGGATTCCCTTCCCTCTTGCTCCCTCCAGCCCTGGGACCTTGATGAAGTTTCTCCTAGAGCTTATCTTCCTCCTTGAGTGGTTCGAATGATGCTAGGATAGGGGAGGGTATCACTTAATCAATCAACCCAAAATTATTTTGGTGATGGGGTCATGGGGGTGTAGTTTTGTCTCAAGGAGGTTTCTTCTCCTCTCATGTACGCACAAGTCATTGTGTTTTGTCCCCCTCTTTAATAGTGTAGGCTTATTGGTGTGTAAAATACCCCAAGTGGGTGTAGGAAGTCCCTCCCAATTATTCCTACTATTTTTGGCAGGTCGGGCCAAAA